TAGACAATGTGGTATTAGTATAAGAACAGACACATACCTCAGGAGAATAGAGAGATCAGAAATAATTCACACATAGGGCCAACTGATTTGGGGGAGAGGAGCCAAGATAATACAATGGGGATAGGATAGTGTTTTCAACAAGTGATATTGGAAAAATGGGATATCCATATATCCATATACAAAATTATGAACTTCACCCCATACTTAGGCTATGTAAGAAAATCAACTCAAAATAGACCCAAATGCAAAACCTAAATCTATAAAAATTCTAGATGAAAATCTGGGCAAAAACCTTTGTGATATTGGATTAGGCACAAATTCTTAGGAGACTAAGGAGCACAAACCACAAAAGAAATAATTGATAACTGGATTTCACAAAAATTGAAAGTTTCTGCCCTTCAAAAGACAACATTAACAAAATGCAAAGTCAAACCACAGACCAGGAGAAAATATTTGCAAAATACATATCTGAAGAAGAGCTTATATCCTAAATACATAGACCCTTACAACTCAAAAAATAAGACAACCCAATATTAAATTAAAAAGCCCAAAGATTTGAACATATACTTCACCAAAAAAGAAATACAGAACGCAAATAAACACATCAAAAGATGTTCAACACAACTAGTAAACAGAAAATTGCAAAAGAAAACTGTAATGAGATATCACTACATACTTGCTAGAGGGGCTTACATCAAACACACACATACAAACCAATATGGAGTGTGTTCAGGTGAGGATATAGAGCAAGTGGAACTCTCAGGCATTGCTGTCAGGATCACTGCTCATTAATCTACTTTATTTTTCCCAAAAGCACTTTCTATTACCTTAAAGTTTGCTTATGTAGGTAAGTCCATGCATATGTGCTCACATGTTTATTATCTATCCTCTCTCACCAACAGAAATGCGATGAGGCTGGCAACTTGGTCTGTCTTGTCACCACTGTCACCACTGTGTCACCCCAGCACCAGGAAGAGTGTCATGCACAAAGTGGGCAATCAGCACTTATTTATTAAAAGGCAGGAAAGAGTGGGAAAAAGACACTAAGATAACTCAGTGAATGCATGGAGACAAGGAACCCAGTCATAGCAGTCTACAGAGGGACATTTGTCGGTGTAAAAGAGGATGCATAGTATAACACAGGCTTCCTCCAACTATGGCCCGAGGGCCACATGCAGCCCCCGCCGAGGATATTTACCTGGCCGGCCGGGTGTTTTTGCTGCCGCTGCCTGTCCTGCTTAGCAGCCCACTCATCCCCGGCCCACAGTGCACATGTGTGGAATGTGTGCCACACTCTCCAACGGCCCTCCAACGGTCTGAGGGACAGTGAACTGGCTGCCTGTTTAAAAAGTTTGAGGACTCCTGGTGTAATACATGATCCTCAATTTCAGCTGCACATTAGAATTAGCTAGAAAACTTCGAAAAATCCCAATTTCAGGCCACACCAGACCAATAAAACCAGAATCTCTGAGAATGTGACCCCAGCATGGAACACTTTTAAAGTTCCCAAGGTGATCCCAATATGCACAGTTGAGAACCAATGAGGAAATGGAACCCAGGCTTCAAACTGCACACACCTCTATTCTTTTCTGGTGAGGTATATGCCCACCTCAGCCCACTTAAGTATATGTGCAAGTAACCTTTCTCAGCCTCAGAATTCTCATCCACAAAATGGGAATAATATTTATACATACCTTCCAGAGTCTCTGTAAGACTGAGATTATACATAAAACTCTCAGTAAATGTTAATTCTCTTCCCTATGGTAAACTTGATCAAATCTTCATTGCTTACTGTGAGAAATGCTAATTTAATCATCAATTCACATCTTTCATAGTTACCTGATTACTAGAGTGAACATTTGCATTGGGGAAGTTCAGAAATGCTCATTTTTTCATTTTCCTGATGATAAGATGCTATTTTAAATTCAGGCATAACTAAACTATGGAGGGAAATCTAGCTGAGTATTTATGCCAGTGATTCTCAAACTCACCTGCACATTAGAATCACCTGAGAAGTTTTTTTTAAGAATACCAATGTCCAGACCTCACCCAGGCCAATGAAATCACAAACCCTGGGGGCTCTAGAGCATCAGTGTCTTTTGAAAAGATGATTGAAAGGTGACTCTAACACACAGGGCTGAAAAGCACACTGATTTGCACTAATGATATCCCATGCTAACTGTACATCAGAGTCACATGGAGAGCTCTCAAAAATCAGATTGATTCCAGAAGCCTAGCATGACTTACTAATTCAGAATCTGTGGAAGTGGAGGCCACCATCCACCAACCTTCATAAAGCTCCCCACTGGCGATTCTGGTGCAAACTCACTGGGAACCACTACTTTCTATCATGCATTTACTCTCCCTGTTGTATATCAAAGCAAAGATCATTTAGAACTTTCACTGGTCTCAAATGCCAAGCCTGCCAACAGCTTTTAATCAGTAACTGACACATCACAGTAACTCTTAGGATTTTACAGATCTTTTCAGAACACTTTTATGTGTAGCTCACTAACTCACACCATTTACTGTGTGCCGTGCCCACTACTGGCTACACCAGTCTTTCTAACCAAATCCCTCTAATGGGCTGCCAATCTGGGAACAGCAACATGGAATCACATTACCCTCCCAGGCTTATTCCCCTTTGTTAAGTGGTACGCAATGCCAGGATTAATGTAACAAACCCCATTGATCAGATGAGTCTGAATGAAATCTGAGTTATTTTCTGCACCAAGAAGCAAACTGTTATGTTTACTTCTCTCAGAGAGATAAAATCAGAGGATGGAAGGTGACCCCTGAGGTAGAAGTAGTAATATAGTTCCCTACAATTTTAAAACTCTGTCTAGACATAATAGTGGGACACTTAGAGAATGATTTTGACAGAACCAACTAATCAGTACATATAGCACCATGGTAGCTCTACAAGGCAGGTGATGAAAATAGCTCTATTTTAGGCATACTAAATATAGTAACTCATGTGATCCTCAAAACAATAACCCTATCAGGCAGGTACTATTATTATTCCCATTTTATAAAAAAAGAAACAAAGGTAATTAGAAGTTAAATGATTTGCCCAAAGTCACATAGCTAGTAATTGGCAGTTTTTGAACCCAGGCAATATGACTTCAGAGCACAATACCTTAAGTACTCCACTACAGTGTAGATGAATGGTCGACAAGCTGTTTGGTTTTTTTTATTTTTTTAAAGAAAAGTCTACAAAAGAAACTAGAAACTGGAGATCAGACCATGTGTACTTTGGGCAAATTACTTAACCTCCTGGAGCTTATTTTTGCATCTGAAAAATAGGGATAATAATAGAACCTGCCAAGTAGAGATGAGGCGAGGATTAAACAAGATCCTGGATGTGACCTGCTTAGAAAAGCCCTTAGCACTTTTAAGAGCTATGTCAATGTCAGCCTTTATGATTATTTGCATCTTAATACAGCCCAAGTGGTCAGGAAGAAATGATTGTCTGTTTTTCCTGGTTATATTAGATCAGTAGATTCTGTGGCTTGCCAGTACATCAGATCCAATATGAAATGAAGTAATAAAAGATTTTCAGAAAAACATAAGAACTCTAACTGCGACAAACCCCAACCCATCCAGTCCAGGACAATGGCTCTAAAATACAAACACCCTCAGTCATCCAGCTGTATAAACAAATGTAACCACATCAGAAGCCAGAATTCCAAGTGGCTGGGAAGTGCAGCTGACTCTGGTTCATTTGCAGAACATGCCACAAAAGATTCTATCAGGTGGTAAATGTCACCTGTCCTCAGTCACATTTGTATAAACAGAAAAGAAAAACAAAATGAGAATGCAAATAAAAAGAGGTTACATTCATCCTCCGTCTGGGACTCTATTAAATGCTTTACATGCATTACCTTATTTAATCCTCACAACACCCTACCAAGGTCGAATATTACTGCTGAAAATCACACAAACACTCTGGTTGGTCTCACTTTAAATTCATGACTATACATCTCAAGTGGGCACTCAACACTGCCTGGCAATTCAGCTCCATTCCCCTAGTAAGCTGGCTTTCCCACTCTCTAGGACTATGTCACTAGGCTCTCCTCCCAGTTCCAACACTTCTTCTCGCCCCTGCCGCCCTCCCTCTTAGCCCATGACTGCCTACACAGACCCTCCTTCTGCCACCTACCTGCATCTGCATCCATAGTCTCAGCTTCCTCTCTAGTTGCATCAGCTTAAGTGTCCCTGCTCATTTCAAAACCAACCACCCACCCACCAGTTCTGTGGTCTCTTCCTCTCTTACGTATTCAAAGACTTTCGCCTGCAATGTTCACCTCTTTCGTCTGCACATTTCTTCCTTTCTATTAGTTTAATCACATTGGCATGTAAACATACTCTAGTTTCTTCTATCTTAAAAAATTCCACTCGACTGTAAGCCCCTCTACTCCACTAAAGTTGCTCTTGTTAAAATGATTATAATCCTCCTAATTGTAAGACCATCTTATACAGTAGCATTCAACATGGTTGACCACACCCCCTCAGTTTGTTAGCTTTCCCTCCCCTGTTTTGTGTACACTGTCAGCCTAGCTTAAATGCCATCTGTAAGTGAGGATTCCAAAGGATAGCTGTAGCCCTGACATCCCCCAAAAGGCTTCAAATTCAACTTTCTAACAGCCTATTTGACATCTCAACTTAAAAATCTAGTAGGTCATTTATGTTATATGTATTTTACCAAGGAATAATGATTTGTTCAAGCAATTCAGTAAATGGAGAGGGACAGATAGATGAACAGATAACATGAAGTGTAGCTAAATAATATTAAAGGTAGTCTCTACGTGGGAGGTGCACAGAGTTCACTGTAAAATTCTTTCCAACTATGCTGTTTGTATGTTGAATATCGGAAAAAACAACTAAGCTCTCAAACCTAATATATCCAAAATATGTCTTCCTTGAGTCACGGACTCGGCCTTGTCTGGCTCTCTCCCACCCGTAACAAACATATTAACAATTCCGTGAAGGCAGGAGACCTTGCCTATCTCGGTCATCGATATTCCCAGCTTCGAGAACGGTGCCTGGCGCACAGGATGTGCTCAAAGTAGTTGGATGGGCGACGAACCAACGCTGTGTCTCTGCAGGTGCCTCGACCTCACTGCCTGCGAGTCAGAATGGGGCTCTCGGCGCCAAACCTCCCGAGCCCGCGTCAGTCACCCCGGATCTCGGCTTCTCACCCTCATGTGGCACCCGCGCCCTCAGCGGGCTCAAGGCCTTCCCCGCCGCAGGGCCAAAGTGTCCCCTGTCCAAACCTGTCACACACTGGCCCCCGGACATGTCACAGAACAGCTGGGCATCACGCCCCGGCTGAGTCGCCCGCGGCCTGGCCAGACGCCCTCCCTCCGCCCAGGCCGCGGGCAGGCGCCGGGCGGCGGCGCTCGGCCCTCGGGCCGCCCTCCTGGGGGCCAGAGTGCGCCCAGCCGCGCTCCGCCGCCTCCCGCCTCCCCGCCCCCCCCGCCTCCCGCCCCCCGCTCCCGCCTCCCCGCTCCGCTCCCGCGCCCCCCGCCTCCCGCGCCCGGCCTCGCCTCACCTGGGCGTCGCTCCGCAACCGCCCGCCGCGCCCGCCCCCCAGCTGCCTCGCCGTTGCGTTTGCGCCAGCCCGCCCTCGCCGCCGTCAATCCGGCTGCTCGCGCGAGCCTGCGCACTGGGACCCCGCCATGCATTCCCTTGGGGCTGTCCACCGGCCTGCGCGTGCTCTCTCCAAGGCCTCTAACGCCTGCAGCTGTCCGAGTCCTGTCCCTACTCTGAGCCACTGAGCACTGTGTTCCCCAGGAGCGGCCGCCTGCCCCACACCTGCCCCTGAGCTCTCCACTGGGTGCCCAAAGCGCTGGGGTGGGCAGTCGGCTTGCAGTATCACACAACAACTTCATAGCCTGTTCCAGAATGCAGAGTCAGTGGGCTACTAGTCAATTAAGTTTCGGCGAGGGTAGTTAGTATAGAGGAATTCAAGGTGTAAACATTGCCTGAAAACGTGAAGCCAGAATCTTTCTATCTTGACAAGCACATCTCTATCCATTTGGTCCTGACCAGAGCCACTTCGTTGGATCCCAGTTTCCTTGAAGGCATGACCAGACCTGCCCCACTTATCCCCAGCCTTCAATGCGTGTCCAGCAGAGAGCCATATGCCTGAGTCGAACTGGGGTTGAGCAACAGCGGCCACCGTCCAGGCAGGAGAGGTCTGCTACCTGCTTGGGAGTCACTCATGGCAGATGCCTCTCTCCATCCAGAGGCAGCACCCAAGACACCCACCAGGTGAGCCACACCCCAGAGTAGGGGTCTCCCCAAAGATAGACCCGTGTCTGATGTGGTTTTTTTTCCTTAGCGCCTAAACATCAGGATTCTGCATGTGGTCACCATTTCAAAAACATGAGCAGCATGGCAGAATCAGAATGCTCGTTTATTGCTGTGTCCCCACACAGATGGCTGCTCAGGACACATGGAGGATCTCCTTCTCACAGCATCAGGAAATCTCAGCATGGAATCCAAATGAACACTTGGTGGGAGGAGACCCTGCAGTCTCATCCCATCTCTCCCAGACTTCCTGCTACACCACACAATGCTCACGAGGCCACTAACTCAGAAGCCTCTTCTTGGTTTTCCATCTTTTACTAGTGAAAAATTCAAATAACTATAAAGTTTAGGACTCATCACAGATTACTTCCATTCTCTGGAGGCCTCTTAAACCCTTGTATCCTGGCAATTACAGTGGTATGAGGAATCTTGCAAGCCTGGCTTAGCTCCCTGCTTTCCTACTGATTAGCTGATGACCTGGGGTAAGTTACTTCCCAACTTTTTCTCAGTTTCCCTTTTCTAAAAAAGGAGACATAGAGTTCCAAGTGCTTAATGAGACAAAAAAACAGAAGCATTCAGCACTACTCCTCACAGTAAATTGTTGCTTTCTTTCTCAGGAGTGTGAACAAATGTGAGCTAAAAGAGTCAATCCTTCAGATGGATCCCAAGTGGCTAACTAGCCTAAATTTAAAATAGAGTCAAGCAGCATTGCTGAATGGAAGTCACACACATACTCTAGTTCCCTAAAAAAACCACAAGTCTTTAACTTGGGATTTCAGCTCACACGAACCAACCAATGAGACTGCCTTGGTCAATGAGGGCTCAGCTGCACTGAGCAATCAAAACTAAGCAAGTTTGGTGGTGGAGCAAGATGGCGGACGAGAAACACTGCCACAGAGTGTCTCTGCAAAAAGACAGATTCTAGCAGAAATTAGAAAAAAGAAGCAAAAGATGAGCATACAGTGGACAAGGGCCGGAAGGAGGGGTACCGGGACCCCGGGAGACTCCACGGGAGGAGGCTGTGGAGGAGAAACTGGAGGATGAGACCACCGGAGCAGCATGGAGACCACGGCAAGGGTAGGGTTGCTGTTTCCCCTCCCCTGCATTTGGACTGCTGGTGGGCTCCCAAGCGGTGGAGAGACTGCAGACATCAGCCCAGAGACGGCCGCCGCCAGCCAGCGGTGAGCCTGTAGCAGACGTGGCACCAGGTTCCCAACTTCCTCAGGGCACCTCTGTGTGCACAGACCCAAGCCTCGGGGCAGGCGCCATATTGTCCTCCCCTCCACCGACTTACCGCGCTGCCCAGGAGGACAATACAACCAACAGCCAGAGGCACCTCCAGGGAACGGACCTTCCTTTTGGGACCCTACAGCTGACTAAGGGAACTCAGACTGTGAGCTCCCTACCCGCCAGCTCTCCCAGGTTGCTGCTGGCACGGTGTTCCCAGAGAACGGTGCCGACTCAGAGGCTGAGAGACATAACCCAGCTTGGCTCCATGTGGGTGAAATGGGACCGGAACTCCTCTCCCTGGTGGGGGATACAGTTTGAACTCTGGACCCAGAGGCCGGACCTGCAGACCAGTCCCTGCACCGAGGGCTAGCATTGCCTGGGGCACAGAAGGGTTATCATGAACAGCCAACTGAGGTGTGTGCCTCAGGACTGGATCAGCATCCTAGAGGCAACCCTCCTCACAGAGGAGGCCGTGCGCCACCCAGGTGGCATTCCTGTGCAGGGAACCTCCCTGCGGCATCACAGTCCGGGAGGCCAGGTGGCTTGTGGTCTGGCCTGCTGGCAGAGGCCCAGGAGTAGCTGCGGAGTTGGGAGGGTGGAAAGAAGCGAGGCCCTCCAGATGCGGGTCCAGAGCCCCACCCCACACCAGACTTTCTGGCTGAGCCGGACCATTCCAGCCCCGCCCTGACAGGTTTTCCTGGAAGCAGAGAACAGAACTTTGACCCCTGCTAACTGCCTTAGGGCAGGCTTACCAACCCAGCTCTGCCCGAACAAGAGCTGATAATAGGACACAAAATCAACACAAGCGCCTGTTCCTCCAAGCAAACGCCACTACTGACAGGACGGCATCTTGCACAGCTTTCCCACGGCACCCACTGACTCAATATAAGGGAGTGGTTCAATCTCACCAACAGACACCACCTAACGCCTCAGAAACTAAACAAGGTGTGTGAATACCCAAACAATAACCTAAAGGAAAGAAACAACAACTGATCAACATGGGAAGAAATCAGCGAAAGAACTCAGGAAATAAAACAACAAATGAAAACAAACCCCCAAAGAGAACACAGCCTCTAGAAATGGACACCAAACAAAATCAGCAACCATATGACAGAAGAGGAATTTCGTATGTGGATCATAAAACACTCACCGAGCTGCAACAACAACTCATAACAACACAAAGACCAAAAAAAAGCCTCCAGGATATGGAAAAAGAAATAGACACAATGAGAGAAACTTAACCGAATCTGGAAGAGAGATAATTCAAGAAACTACAAATACAGTGAAAAGTCTCAAGAACAGGGTAGATCAAACAGAAGAAAGAATCTCAGAGCTGAAGATAACACCCTCAATTAAATAATCAGTCACAGAAATTTAGAGCAGAGAAACAAGAGAAAAGAGCAAAGCCTACAAGAGATGTGGGATTATGTGAAGAAACCTAATGTGAGGGTCATAGGGTTACCAGAAGGGGAAGAAGACAACACTCAAGGGTTGGACAAGCTGTTTGAAAATATAATAGAGGAAAATTTCCCAGGCCTTCCTCAAAATCTCAATATGCAAGTTCAGAAGCTCAGAGGACCCCTGGGAAATTCAATGCAAACAGGAAGACGTCACGACATGCAGTCTTCAGACTGACCTAAGTATCAACAAAAGAGGCCCTTCTAACAGCTGTAAGATGAAAGAAGCAAGTGACATACAAGGGAAAGCCAATTAGAATAACACCAGACTTCTCTAATGAGACTTTACAAGCAAGGAGAGAATGGGGCCCCACTCTCACTCTTTTGAAACAAAAACAATGCCCAGCCTAGAATATTATTCCCTGCAAAACTAAGCTTCATATATGAAGGAGACATAAAGACATTTTCAGACAAGCAAAGTCTCAGAGAATTCACCAAGACAAGACCAGCCCTACAAGAAGTACTCAAAACAGTGTTACGCACAGAACACCATAATAAAACTCATGAATATAAAAACAACCAAAACCCAAAGATTAAAGGCCAGATAATACAATGGAACCACCCTGGGCGTCCGCTCCGCCCAACCGCCCCGCCGCGCCCCGCCCCCAGCTGCCTCGCCGTTGCGTTTGCGCCAGCCCCGCCCTCGCCGCCGTCCAATCCCGGCTGCTCGCGCGAGCCTGCGCACTGGGACCCCGCCATGCATTCCCTTGGGGGCTGTCCACCGGCCTGCGCGTGCCTCTCTCCAAGGCCTCTAACGCCTACAGCTGTCCGAGTCCTGTCCCTACTCTGAGCCACTGAGCACTGTGTTCCCCAGGAGCGGCCGCCTGCCCCACACCTGCCCCTGAGCTCTCCACTGGGTGCCCAAAGCGCTGGGGTGGGCAGTCGGCTTGCAGTATCACACAACAACTTCATAGCCTGTTCCAGAATGCGAGGTCAGTGGGCTACTAGTCAATTAAGTTTCGGCGAGGGTAGTTAGTATAGAGGAGATTCAAGGTGTAAACATTGCCTGAAAACGTGAAGCCAGAATCTTTCTATCTTGACAAGCACATCTCTATCCATTTGGTCCTGACCAGAGCCACTTCGTTGGATCCCAGTTTCCTTGAAGGCATGACCAGACCTGCCCCACTTATCCCCCAGCCTTCAATGCTGGTCCCAGCAGAGAGCCATATGCCTGAGTCGAACTGGGGTTGAGCAACAGCGGCCACCGTCCAGGCAGGAGAGGTCTGCTACCTGCTTGGTGAGTCACTCATGGCAGATGCCTTCTCTCCATCAGAGGCAGCACCCAAGACACCCACCAGGTGAGCCACACCCCAGAGTAGGGGTCTCCCTCAAAGATAGACCCATGTCTGATGTGGTTTTTTTTTCTCTTAGCGCCTAACATCAGGATTCTGCATGTGGTCACCATTTCAAAAACATGAGCAGCATGGCAGAATCAGAATGCTCTTGCTATTGCTGTGTCCCCACACAGATGGCTGCTCAGGGACACATGGAGGATCTCCTTCTCACAGCATCAGGAAATCTCAGCATGGAATCCAAATGAACACTTGGTGGGAGGAGACCCTGCAGTCTCATCCCATCTCTCCCAGACTTCCTGCTACACCACACAATGCTCACGGAGGCCACTAACTCAGAAGCCTCTTCTTGGTTTTCCATCTTTTTACTAGTGAAAAATTCAAATAACTATAAAGTTTAGGACCTCATCACAGATTACTTCCATTCTCTGGAGGCCTCTTAAAACCCTTGTGTCCTGGCAATTACCAGTGGTATGAGGAATCTTGCAAGCCTGGCCTTAGCTCCCTGCTTTCCTACTGATTAGCTGATGACCTGGGGTAAGTTACTTCCCAACTTTTTTCTCAGTTTCCCTTTTCTAAAAAAGGAGACATAGAGTTCCAAGTGCTTAATGAGACAAAAAAAACAGAAGCATTCAGCACTACTCCTCACAGTAAACTGTTGCTTTCTTTCTCAGGAGTGTGAACAAATGTGAGCCTAAAAGAGCCAATCCTTCAGATGGATCCCAAGTGGCTAACTAGGCCTAAATTTAAAATAGAGTCAAGCAGCATTTGCTGAATGGAAGTCACACACATACTCTAGTTCCCTAAAAACCCACAAGTCTTTAACTTTGGGATTTTCAGCTCACACGAACCAACCAATGAGACTGCCTTGGTCAATGAGGGCTCAGCTGCACTGAGCAATCAAAACTAAGCAAGTTTGGGGGGTGGAGCAAGATGGCGGACGAGAAACACTGCCAGACAGAGTGTCTCTGCAAAAAAGACAGATTCTAGCAGAAATTAGAAAAAAGAAGCAAGAAGATGAGCCATACAGGGGACAAGGCCCGGAAGGAGGGGTACCGGGAGACCCCGGGAGACTCCACCGGGAGGAGGCTGGGAGGAGGAACTGGAGGGATGAGACCACCCGAGCAGCCATGGAGACCAGCGGCAAGGGTAGGGTGGATTTGCTGTTTCCCCTCCCCCCTGCATTTGGGACTCGCTGGTGGGCTCCCAAGCGGGTGGAGAGACCTGCAGACATCAGCCCAGAGACGGCCGCCGCAGCCAGCGGTGAGCCTGTAGCAGACGTGGCACCAGGTCCCCAACTTCCTCAGGCCTCTGTGTGCACAGACCCCAAGCCTCGGGCAGGCGCCATATTGTCTCCCTCCACCGACTTTACCCGCGGCTGCCCAGAGAGACAATACAACCAACAGCCAGAGGCACCTCCAGGGAAACGGACCT